CCCCCCCCCCCCGATATCTGTCCCCTGAAAATGAATAACCCCCCCAGCCCAGCGCGCGCGCTTGCTTTTCGGGATAGTACCTCAGCGACGTGATAGCGCTCCCACTTGCGGCACTTCTGGTTCCGCTTCCAGCGGTCGACGTCCTTCGCGAAGTACAGGCAAGACAGCACCACGTGCTCCGCGAGAGCAGAAGCGAAGAGTCCTCTGTCGTCGTTGTCGTTGTTGTGGTTTTTGGTGTAGTTGTTTTCCGTCGCACCCACAATCCGACATTAGCGACAAGTAGTAGTCGTCGTCGTTAGGCAGAGCAGACGAGGAAAAGGCGGCAAACACCAGTGGAAGGAAGCGCGCGATCATTCGTGATAAAAAGACGGACGTACCAGCACTAAAATACAGGATCACATCTACGTGCGGGGTAGGAGGATTTTGTCGCGGCGCGGTTGTACCCAGGGAACAACATGTAGACAATGTGTTTGATGTCATAACAAAAACCATGTCACTGCTGTGTCTCCGAATAAATTGACTATTAGCGCGACACGCTGCTACCGAATGCAAACGACTGGACCGATCACACCACCGACGACTGAGATAAAATTGTCGCCACCGTTCAGTGGGCTTAGCTCTCGGTTACGGCTCCTACGCATAGCTCTTCTCTAGTAAAACGTGTGTTCCTAAAAAACGAAAGCAGAGGGAATCTGCGGCTTCACTCGCCGTACCGCTCACCTTGCGTTGGTCAACGAGACGTGGTCGGCCTCGACTAGCGCCGGGAAAAGGGCGGCGTCCACTCCGACTAACCGGCTGTGGACCCAGGCCAGCTTGGGCGCCAGGGGAAACAGCTGGCTCAGCAGATCCTTCGTACCTGGAGTCCGGAGGCGGTGCGTCGAGAGTAAGTTGGTGGTCGCTAGAGTGTAGTAGGGGATGTAGTAAACAAGTACGGCTTCGCTTGGCTGTCTATGTGGGAGGAATGCGTAGGCGCTCTTCTTGGGTCACATCACACTCCCTAGGGTCATGCAAAGCACCATCCCCACCAGAACACCACCCTCCGAGCCTTCAGGCAAGCCCTCGATCAAACCCTCAAGTCGCCAGAAGAAAAACGTATCCCCTGCCCTATCCCAGCCCCTTCGACTCCTCCGTACTCCTTCATCCGCACCCAACCCATCCCGCTTCGACGTTTGGCCCACTTTTTTCGCGGACAGACTCAATTCCACTACGCCCCCCCCCCGTGTTCCTAACTCACCGATACAATTGAGGAGTACGTTAGCCTCGGCGAGGGCCCGCTTTCCTTCGGGCGTAGAGAACTCCTCGATGGTCGAACCCCTAAACAGGACCTCGGAAGAGTCCTTCGGGAGGCGTTCCAGCTCAACGAGGGTGGGGTCGTCCGCCTCGGCGACGACGATGATGCTTGCTTGCCCCGCCGCCGAACCAAGTCTGTGGGTGGTGTTTGGTTGTTGTTGTTATCTATCGGCGGCTTGTTTTCCTTTATTTCCGTATTGTACGGGGAAAGCAACGTTGTTGTTGTTGTTGTTGTTGTCTACGGACGGCTTGCCATCCTTTATTTCCGTATTCTACCGGGAGGGAGAGTCGTAAGATTTGTTCCAGTATCGCAAATAAATGCAGCCAACTCCCGTCCTTGTTGTTAATATCGTCTGTTTTGGTGATCGCGACGGGGTTATCCTGAATAAGTCACTCGCTCGTGGATAGTTAAATGGAGTTAAGTACTCGGTTGTACTCGGTTGTCTATCAGCGCTGAGGGAGGAGCTGTGCCCCCCCCACCGTGACACCTATCGTACTATTCGTTAAAACCTGCATACATAGTCTATTAACGTAGCTCGAAGCGTTGTAGACTAAACATACATACCACTTCGTATATCCATACATGTGTTCATCCTTCACCGTCACTCATACTATTCTATCTATCTATCTACTATGTATATATATGTACTGTAGTTCTCCTGACCGTCAACAATAAGCACAAACTCGCTGAAGTACGCCCCAGCAAATTTTATTGTGTTTGCTGGTTGGTGCTTGTTTGTTAGAAGAGAGCAAAATCAACGAAGAGAGGAAGATTTGATGGAGACATCGTCGGTATGAAAGTGAGGCAAGAAGAAGGTAGAGGACAAGGTTGTTTGCGGCAACTTCCAGTAATGGACAGACATATTTGGAAGACAAGAAAGACACCTCACAAAAAGTTGAGTTTTTGTACAGTCTAGTCTATCTACATGCAATGCGTCCTCACGGCAGGCAGTGATCCTTGGCCTGAAGTCTGCACATAATCCATCTGCATAGCAGAGCCTTTCTCCCCGACGCTCGAAACAACCTGACAAATTTAGGCACCGGCGCCGAAATATACTTGTACTCCGGCAACGAGCAGCATGTAATGTATAATTACCGCGGTGCCCGCAGTTTGCTGATTGTTCTCGACATGTCGAAAGTTGAAAGGAAATCTACTTCTTCTGTTTGTTTGGTGGAACCATTATGTCTGCGAGAAAGCGCCCGCCGGCGTCAGCAGACATACATACACCTGATGTTCTCGAGAGAAGGATTATCATCATGCAAAAATGTCGTATGGTCTAGTTCACCAACGAAAGCACGTCGTACACACGCCGATTTTTGAATCATCTCACACACACCGCCGTGTAGCTGTGTATCGTTCAAAGTCACCACACCGTCCCGCCAGCCCGCCGGACAACAAAAAAAAAAATCTGTGTAGGTTCCTGCATGATGCATAGTCTACATACGTACATATACACGTTCTACACTACAGCAGGTAATGTGTGTACACCGCTGTACCACCGAACAATAACCCGGTTGCTCGCAGCATGTCTTTCACGATACAGTGTGTGTACACCGCTTGGTTCGTCTCGTGGATGGCAGGCTGCGTGTGTCCACACACCCACACCACTCTCTCTCGTATCATCTCCGCCACGCGTAGAAATATTTCGGTTCGGAGAGTAAAGAATTTAGCGGAGAGATTTTGCACACCAACCCCAGCAGAAAGTTTCGCACGCATGGTGCCCGAGGACACAGAGGTCGCGTGCTACATGCGACGTGCAGCCACGCAACATGTGTAGAGCTTACAACGGCAGTGACCGCTGTGGGTGGAGTCATTTGAACTATCCGGTTACAAAACAGGGCTACGATGACGGCTCCACGACGCGCTATACCACCTCGGGGAATGCGACAAACCAACGGCAGAACTATTGGATGGTGGGCAGCGGCGATGGAGACCATTTTCCATGATCATACAGCAGTAGTTACTACTGTAGTCGTCTCTGTATCGACGACACACAGCCGAGTTTCAGCTACACATGGTGCTCTCGTGATGGCTTACCTACACGATGGGTATCCCATGACGTCCTAGCGTGGTGCACTCGTGTTTCTTCGTCTAGCTTGTTGTGTGCTTGCGAATAGGTAGGTAGTAGAGAGGGAGAGAGGGTGGATCTGTGTCGATGTGGGGCAGAGGCGAAGGGTTCCGTGAGACCACCTTGAAAAACAACCGATTTCCCGGAGAAACGATGAACCGTATATCACTACCCACACCAATCACATTCCAAGATCACCTGTAGGAAAATGCGCAAACAACTTCCTTGATACATGCGGACGAAATAATTCGACCGAGGATGTCGGTTGAGCCACGTGCAGATCTGTTGGTCAAGAGGAGGCGCGAGAGTTCCGTGAGTCCATCCAATCAGCCAATTTCCCGGAATGGCAATGGCCCGCAAACCATTCACCCGCGCCTTGGAGCCAATCGAATTCTACTTTCACCTTGAGAAAATAGAAGAAAAACCTCCTTGACACACGGGGAGAAGCAAACTCGATCGAGCGCGTCGGTTTAGCCGAGCGCGCGTCATCGTGCCCCCCTCCCCCTCCTCACTTCACAACCACACCCACCTCGACAAACACAACATCCACCTACCACCCACCACCCACCACCCAAACAACTGAATCAAGAGAGGACAAACACACTTGCTCTTCATTCAAGTTCTTCGAGTTCTTCTGATTCAGAAACAACTACATTCTTCTCAAGACCTTAAGTACTGCAGAATCATGGGACCGTTCAACAGCCAAACCGTAGCGGATGGGGGCGGAGTGGAAACTGGAACCGCGGAGGTGACGTGCAGTATTCCGGTCTGCCCTGCCCTTTCCGTCCTCCAGGTGAGTCTGCTGTCAGAGGAGAAAAAAAACAGCAGAGCTGCTGGCTTTGCTCAGCAAGAAGAGCAGTACTGAACGAAAAGCATGGAGTTGTTCCGGCGTTGGATTTTAATTGGGGCTGGGGGCTCCTGGTCTGGTCAGCATTGTTAGTTCGCTCGATAGAGAGTGAGGAGTGTGATAACGGACATTTTTACTACAGTAATACATGCGATGCGGGAATGTCGTGCCACATATTATGTAGACCATGTTGCACACCCCGTTCTTTCCGAATCAGCACCGGCAGTAGTACGAGGAGTTGTTGGTGCTTCGCTCCCGACCAAAAAAAAATGATCACGTCCTGTCTCGGCGAAATACTGCACTATTTGGACTAATTCATAATAACAGGCTCGGAAGGCCGCGGAGGACTTAGTACCATACGCAACGCCTCAGATAGGGCACTGACACATCGCATTTCCCTTCGCTGATTCCTATTCGCCGCCCCTCACTTTGGTCGTCCCCGTCTCCATGCGTTCGCCGGCTCCCTCGCTCGCCCGGGTGTTTCCGCCGATGATTTCAGACGTCGATGCTGTCAGTTCAGCGCACTACCACTCCTCGCGAGAAGCAGGACAAGTCGAAGCTGGTCTTCGGGCAGACGTTCACGGACCACATGCTGCACCTCGACTGGGACAGTGACGGCGGCTGGCAAGCCCCCAGGATCCTGCCGTACGGGGACCTGCGCATAAGCCCGGCCGCCTCGTCCCTGCACTACGGCTTGCAGGTAACCATGCGATGTGTAGAACTACCGCTCCTGATGCTGCTATAGATCGATCTAATAAGAAGCACGAACCCATCGGCCATTGCCCTTGTACGTGAAAAATACAGACTAGCTTCGTCTTTTCGTGTACTTGTTCTAAGGTTTAGTGGACGTCGCCTTCAGCGTCATGTGCATCCAACTTACCGAAGACCTACGCCCCCCGCGGCATTTCCGGCCACAAATTCCTCCGTTCCCTGCCACCACTGTAGTTGCTTTTACGCACAACGCATCGTGGGTCCAACACACCGATGATACATCCAGCGTACAAAACGGCTCTCCAACTTTAAGCCTTCCAGTCCGGAAGAAGAAACAGAGTTCGCGACAAGAATGCTACGTGGTAGACTCCCAATACCGACCGGGCGTTGCATTGTTCGCCTACTCGAAGGCTGGCGCTGCAGCAAGCGGTAGATGCTTAACAAATGTGCGACGTCGTCGTGGTAGTCAAGTTATCCCGGGATATGCTCCATCCACATGTATGTATGCAAGGGAATATTCCGCCTTACATCGGCCCGCCTTCCCCGCCTTTTCCCCTCCTATTCCCTCCCAACCCCCTCTTCTCGTCCTTCCACGTTCACACACGGGGACACCACCGTATTCACGATGACAGTGCTACGAGGGCATGAAGGCCTACCGTGATGCGGACGGCGGCGTGCGGCTCTTCCGGCCCGACCTCAACATGATCCGCCTCAACAGGTCCATGGACCGTTTGTGCTTTCCTCAGGTGGATGAGGCGAGCATGATCGAGCTCATCAGGTGAGAGTCTTGTCACTAGCAGGGGAGGGGATCGCGAGTCCTGTACGTGCTGGAAGGAACAAAGGTTGCGCTGGCCGATGATACTCGAGATATGGGTATCGTACCAATCAACTCCGGCGGGCGTGCCTGGTTTGCTGCCGCTTCGTTAGCAGCTGTATGAGGACATAAAGAACACTCGTAGCTATACATTGCTCGGACGCCCGTTTTGTAGACGATGCTCGCCTCAAATTTTGGACGAACGGACCATGTGCGATATCAAAAAAGGATACATCACGCCCCTCTAACCCACCCAACCATTCTCCGCGCTTCCTTTTTCATCCCGTACGACAAACGATCCGTTGAATCGATTTCAGCAAGCTCGTAGTTGAGGACGCGGACTGGATACCAGAGGGCGATGGTTACTCGCTCTACATTCGCCCGACAGCCATCAGCACCCACGTGAGACCGATACATTTGTTTCTTTTTTGTCTAGTTTCATTTTATTTGCTTGCCGTTTCAGCCGAATTCACGCACCGTAGCGCTCCGTTTGCGAGCGCACCGTGAAGGAGGGATGAGGGTAGTCAGAGGAGACTCTCAAATGTGTTGCATCCACGTAGACAACAATAAATATATGACATACTTCCTCGACACGCTCGAAAGGCAGCCCACCTGTCTGCTTGCTTGTATGCTATGGATACTCGGCGGTGCCGACGAACTAACCTCTACTCTCTTGGTCGGTTGTGTCATTTCCCCTGCATGTTCTCCAGCCGTACCTGGGGCTCGCTGCACCGGAGAAGGTCAAGATCTACGTCGTCCTGTCTCCTGTCGGCCCCTACTACAAGGTGCCACAAGCGATTTCAGTCTGTTTCTTCAGCCAATGCAACACCAGTGGCTGCTAAAGCCTGGACCTAATAGTACTACGTGGTCTCTTAAACGCGAACCGGAACTTGGGCTGTGTTGCGAAAAGCAGCATGTAACAAGCAGACGTCTTCATTCTCGTCGATGAAAAATGAGGAGCACAACGTCGGTTGTCCTGGACAAAACGTGCACGATTGGTGCCATAAAAACGAAACTCTAACCGAGCACATTTTTTTTGTTTCGTTTCATTCTTTCAGGAGGGGTTCAAGCCGGTCAAGCTCTACGCCGACACCGAGCAGAGGCGGGCGTGGCCCGGCGGCATGGGTTTCGCCAAGGCCGGCGGCAACTACGCCCCCACCGTAAAGCCGGGCCTGAAGGCCAAGAAGGAGCACGGCTGCGCACAGGTGAGATACCCGAAAACCCTCAGTCAGTGCTGGGTGCATGTGTGAAGCAAGCGCGCCCGCGGGGAGGGGCCTTGAACCTAGGGGTTTGCAATCCCTGCAAGGCCGGGGTAGGAGGCAGGGAGGGGGCTTCTTGCCGAATCGTGCTTGATTTTTTTTTACCAAGACACCATTTTCGCGGACCTTGATCGTTGACTGGCGATGACAACGGGTAGGAGGGGTGGGGGCTGTTAGGATATTTCCCGCGGAAATTCCTAGATCCATTCAAGTAACGCTTCCGAAACCGGGGTTGTTTGGTGGTCCTCAAGGTTTGGGAGGAATCCCCTCTCCCGCTACCGGCTCCCTTGTCCCTGTATCATTGATGTTGAACCCCATCTACACCTTCATGCTTGAGTCACCCGCTCGCTGCCATTTTCGCTTCCAAGTCTTCGGAAGCTTTGCTCCTTTCACTGCCATTCTCATCCGTTTTGCGGTTCCTTTGTATCAATTCTCTATGTGTCGCCCGCTTGTCGTGCGCGTGAAGATCCTCTGGCTGTTCGGCGAGGAGGACTACGTGCAAGAGGTCAGCGCGATGAACATATTCTTCCTCGTCAAGAAGGAGGACGGCGAAGGGGTGGAGCTCGTGACGCCCCCTCTTGACGCCGGGGACATCCTCGAAGGTTAGCCTCGTGTTGTTGTCGTCGTCGTCGTCGTTGTTGTGGACAAGGTTGTAATGGTAGTTTCGTTGGCGGGGGGCGTTGTTGGTGGTGGCAGTGGTCCTTTTGAGTCTTTGTTGCTGAGGCCCTCTCAGGCTAGTGCGCGACTTTTAGAACCCTGATTGAGGATTCCGTCTCCTCACTCTCTTCCTATGATTTTCCTCGCACTACCGTTACCCTTTCTTTGTCGTTCCTCGGTCCTGAAAAACACTCTAATTCACCCTCCAAAAAGTCTTCCCAACAACAACAACCCACGCACACGTACGTACACAGGCATCACGAGAAGGTCGGTGCTAGAGCTGGCAAGGGAGTGGCGAGAGCTGGAAGGCGGCGTCCCTCTCGAGGTCAGCGAGAGGCCTCTCGCTATGGGAGAGGTCGTCAAGGCATCCCGGGAGGGCCGGGTAAGAAAACAACAGCAGAGTAGGATTGAGGAGGGGGAAGCGGCAAGGGTTGATTTAATATCGAGAGCGACCCTCACAAGATGTTCGCTGTGGGGTTCGAGCAAGGAGGGGAAACGTATCGTTCGGCCTACATACATGCAAAATATGTTAACTTCCTCACCTTCCCAGTCCCCCTAGACACCTTCTTACTCTTGGGTCTCATGTTCCCTTTCCACCCTCCTCGGCGTCTCGGTGGCCCTTGCCATGCCTTTTCCTCGCAGCTTCTGGAGGTGTTTGGCACGGGTACGGCAGCTGTCATCTCCCCGGTCGAAGCCATCAAGTACCGGGGCATGGAAATCGAGGTTCGTCTTGCGCTACACAGTACTTCTTCCCAATCAAACCGCGGCAGCGACCACGCCCCCTTCATTGAGTCTGGATCGGATGCAGCTATGTACTAGTATTGTGCACGTACAAAAGTTGGTAGAATAATCGTGTTCGCACGCCTAGAAGGTTACGCACAGATGGGTGCATGTAGTACCAAAGAAAATTTCTACTTGCAGGGATCTCTTCGCCACCATCTACATGTGTCTGACTGCTGCTGCTGCTGTTGCTGCTGCTGTTGCTGTTGTTGGTGGTGTTGTTGTTGTGGTGGTTGTTGTTGTCGGTGTTGTTACTATTATCATGATGTTTGTTCCTATTTTTTTGTCCGTTGCTCCTTTCCTGATGCCTCACGCACGTAGTAGATATTTATCGATCTGTTTGGGCCGTTTTTTCTCTCGCTGACAGGTGCCCAGCGGCACCAGCATCGGCCCGCTCGCGGAACGCTTCTGGGGGGCCCTGACCGACATCCAGTACGGCAGGGTGGAACACCCCTGGTCCGTGCGAATCGCATGAAGACCATCTCTACCACGGTAGCATCTTCTCTTGATACAGAGTTCCGAGTACGCGTGTTGGCACTGCATTTCGCACCCCGCGATACAAGAATAGCAAGCAAGGAGGAGGGTCGCTTGAAAGGGATAGACACGGTCTGTCATCCTGCAGCTCATCACATGTCTGTGGAGAGTTGTTAGGCGGCGACTTTCGAGAACAGGAACACGAAGAAGAAATCAAGTCGAGAGAAAGAAGGAAAGAGTTGAACATATGTTCAACCGTTGACCCCGTCCAGCTGGGCAAAAATCAACGCCATTTGATCATTCTTATATACACGTATTTGTACTTTGGCGAGTTTGGACAATTCTCCCCTTGGATGTGCTGGAATCATCGCTTGTGAGTGTATGTGTGTCAAATGTTTTTTTTTGTCGTTGATGAAACTTGGTATGCCGATGTCCTTCGACAGTGAGCAGTGGTGCTCTGGCGTTTGTGGTGGTATAGTATTTGGAGGTGGCCGTTTGATGGTGCTGGAAGCTTGCTTGTGAGCTGTGTTTTTAACAAACGAGATTCTCGTTCTTTGATGTCACTATTCTTGTGGCAATGTGCTTGCGCTTGACGTGTTCAGTGGTGTATTAGTGTATGTGATTTCATAGTATCTTGACGAAGCCGGTGTCTAGGTGTCATTTTTTATTCATTGATGTCATTTCGTGTGGCACATGCCCCTCGGCAGTGCAGTGTGGTGGAACAGCATTTGGAGGTAGCCGTGTGACGGTACGTTACCATGTATATTTGGCGTTGTCAGAAGGTGTGACGTCATGGAAACGCGGGAGTTCCGTTTATACCTTGATTGATTATTTGCTGCGTGGTGTTCCATGCAAGATGAACAAAAACGTAGCAAAGGAAACGAGCAACATCTTGCATCAGTGGTGTCGGACTAGGTCCACACAGACCAGGAAAGGAGATAGTGTTGGAATACTATATGTTAGTCGTTAGTATTTGTATTGCTGTAAACAACAGCTCATTTGGTAGTCGTGAACGGAGTATGCCGGTATATTTTCCGAATATTGATCCCAGTGATTGATCGGTTCATCGCAGTATACACATCGAGTCGGATGGTACATCGGAACATTGTCCTCGTGGAAATTTCTTGTATAATGTTGCTACAGGTCGGACTTCCCGCCTGTGACTGCCCTCGGTACGTTGCAATAGCTCGTGTGTGCTTTCTTTCCAGGATAAGGTTGGGGGCTCGCCCCTGTGGCGCTCGCCCCCACCTGTGCATTTTCTTTCCTTTCTTCCCTACATCTGTCAAGGCCTTTGATCTCTTCCAAGGTCCTTCGGGACTCTTGCGAGTCTCAAGACTCGTCCTTGTCTTCGCTTACCTATCGGCCAACTAAGCGCCCTTGAAACCATCTTCTCTGGTCTACAGACAAGCATTTTATTGTCACTACGTAAGTCTATCTGCAACAACGCAAGGTTTCCATACTAAGCTATGAACCTTTCAGGTTACCTCCCACAAACAGATAGTAGAGGACGTCTCCGTACACTGGTGTCGTCGGCACTGCTCGGAACTGCGCGCGACATCACAATGAACCTGTTTAGTTCGCTTCTTTCATCGAAAATGACTTCCACGACGAAGATCTGAGTTACAACAGGCTGTGTACTGACTAGTCTAGGGTAAGATGGAAAATATATACCGATACTTTGTATCCGAACATCAGTTCAACGAAGTGTACGGTATGCAAGTCCTGAAGGTCTTGGGTGTGCGAGGTGCCTGCAATGTCAACCAAAGAACAAACACACTGAGTGCATAGCGTCTTCTTTTCATCGAAGGACGTTGATCACAAAGAGAAAATACACTGAGGCAACACACAGCTGTGTTTCTTTTTTTCACGTCCTCCCTGCCTACTCTGCTGTGTTGGGTACCTTGATCTCGCTTTTGCTGTTGCCTTTGTTTTTGTACGTCTGGCTGTCTGCTCATCTGCCGCCTCTTTGTCCTGTTTGCTCCGTTACTCCCATGCCCTGGTGCGTGGTGCCTGGTGCTGGTACGTTACCCTTTGATTTTTTCTTTAGGCGAGTGTGGGAAGCGTCCTCCCTTATTTTTGTTTCTGTTTTTCTTTGATCGGTTTCCGAGGGCTCTTTTCTCGAACGGTCGGTGCGGTAGCTGTTTTTTTATTTTTATCATTTTGTATTATTTTTCCGAGTGGTTTGTACCCTATTTTTGTTTTGTTTCCCCGCGGCGTCGTATTTGCCGGGTTTTGAGACCACGGGCTACCCATTTTTGATGGACTATAGAGCTAATGTGAGAAACAACAACAAACAATCAAAGCAAAAACTACCACTGTGGGACGGATTGCACACGAGATCGCGCTCGCCCGCAGTGGGTCTTTTGTGTTGAACAGTGCCCCGCTTCTTACTGTCTACGGTCTCTACAACGGTATCGCACCTGTTAACCCCTTTGGGTCTTGCTCGGCGAAAAAAAAGAAGGGAAGAGAAAGTGCGGGAGAGAGAGACATCAATAAGTATAACAGCGAACGAGACAGAGTGTACTTCTGTAGACGAAAAGCTATCTCCACCCATAGGCCATGAGGGCTGCCCGCGACAAGACGGTGGGCACAGACAGGGTCATAGAAGGGTTGATGCGTGGTCGCGGTGCGGCCGGTAGGGCAAGTTAGGTTTGTAGAGCTCGAAACGATCAGTCGTCAAGCCGCTTAAATTACTCTATTTTCAGTGCATTCAAATGATCATTGAAAATGATCAGTGAGAGGGCTTGTAGACCCATAGCTGGTTCTTGTACTTCTGTACTTCTCTGTCCCCTCCCCAACATGAGCCCTTCCGGCTCACTACAGCTCCTGTGATTTCCCCACAATTCCCACAAGCACGCAGACACACACCAGCACACACCTACCTTTGCATCAGTGGCTCTCTAGGTTCGGGCGAGGGTATGTGTGGCGCTACGTTGATAGTGTGTGTGATGCTACTACGCTCTATGTTGGACTCGTCTATTATACTGCTGCTGCCGTCTAGTATAGCTGCCGACACGATGACTGCTTCATCTTGGGAGTGTACGATTTTCAAATTTGGATAACATACAGCATGCCACGATATCCTGGCCTGGTTGGACTTGAAACGCCCCTTTCCGCTCTTGCTTTAGTGGAACGAGGGCATGTATGTGGAGCTATTGATGTGTGTCTCTGTGAAAGGATATGGGGAGAGATAATAAGCTGGGCAGCCCGAAGAATCTAGTAGTGCACACGGATTCGCAGAAACCTTGGTATTAATAGCTTATCGTGGTACACAAGTAGAAATGGCCCCGGAAAGAGTAAAAGGTGGGTAACGCGTTCAACTCCACTTTCTGACAAGGGCAGTCAAACGTCGAGTGATATGTACAGGACTATCATAGGGCGAGAGGAGTGAAGGTGACATCACATCGTCTTCGAATTTCTGCTCATCGAATTTCCGTTCCCGCGAGCGAAAGCACACACCAATCTAGTGGCCAGGTCGTCTTGCGCGCAGAAACCACAGCGAGCTATGAAAACAGGGATTCTTTCCGTGTCTTCATCAAATTTCTCGTCTGCACAACAATATAGTTCAATCCACAAATCCATCGAGGCGAGATTGCGCCGCAGCGGAGGATGTTTTTTTTTTTTTCTTAGCCTCGAAAGAACTTTCTTTGAGTTGTTGTGGTTGTTGTCTCCACGTTTAGCTCGTGTCAATTGCTAATTCCAAAATCTGGCAAAGACTCGGTCCGTGGTCACAAAAAATTGAGTAGAACACAACGAATCCATCTACTAAAACCAAGGAGAGAAAATTTTTCTAAGACCCGGTCTTATCGACAGAATCGAAATCGAAAATCGAAATCGAAATTCAGTTGAAGTCTTCAAGAGCCAAATAACATCTGCTGTGATTGGATGGAGGGTGCCGAAACATAACATTTGGATGGAGACCCCGCTGAATCTTCCTATGCTGAAACTCGATACCAAAAAAATGAAAAAATAAATGAAAATACGTTTGTAAACTGATGGAGATTGCATGTCCTACAACTAACAGGGTGCGACACACAAAACGCCCGACTAACCAACAGTACCTACCTGGTAACAACTTTCGTCTACACCTTCCCAACATAACATATATGAGACACACAAGACAGCTACCAAACTGACTTGTTGAGCCTGTTATCCGCAGGGAGGGGAGATGTCCCTATATGCTGCCTGGGAAATCGTAGACATACAGGTAGTTTTTTTTTACGCTATGATTCCATTGTTAATCTGTCTCTGACTCTTATCTATGATGGAGATGGACTCGTTGTGTCATATTAAGAAAAAAAAAAAACATTTAAGATGTCGACTTTGTCGAACAGCAACAGCGCTTTTGCGAACATCAACAGGGTCGTGCGCACGTCGCAGGATCGTTGGGTTCGTAGAAAGTAGTGCGACCTCTCACGCTCTCACACACGCCCTTGAGCCCGCGTTGTCCTTTGGCTACGGCCCCTATCACTCATCCGCTCGAGCCCAAGACACGTGTATTCCATGCGAAAGGGTCGGCGGAACGTACCATCATCCACCATCGGCTTCGCGAATGTGTACCAGCAACGGCGCTCGCGGCGCACGAAATTGTCGCGGATTTGCGGGGCATCATCGCCATCATCCATGAGAACCATTATCGTCAACAGCTCCAGGAGCTGTTTCGTGCGCTTCTTCGTCTTTCCTCGCAGCCATGAGCGTCGGCTGGCAGGAGCANCGTTGGGTTCGTAGAAAGTAGTGCGACCTCTCACGCTCTCACACACGCCCTTGAGCCCGCGTTGTCCTTTGGCTACGGCCCCTATCACTCATCCGCTCGAGCCCAAGACACGTGTATTCCATGCGAAAGGGTCGGCGGAACGTACCATCATCCACCATCGGCTTCGCGAATGTGTACCAGCAACGGCGCTCGCGGCGCACGAAATTGTCGCGGATTTGCGGGGCATCATCGCCATCATCCATGAGAACCATTATCGTCAACAGCTCCAGGAGCTGTTTCGTGCGCTTCTTCGTCTTTCCTCGCAGCCATGAGCGTCGGCTGGCAGGAGCACGAGCCATGTTTTTGGTTGTGCGGCGGTGCGGCGCACGGCGCACGCAGCCACTACTACTTGCTCCGACTGGTGGGCTATTCGCTGCTTGTCGTGGGTTCTTCGCGCGTCTTTTCTGAAATTCAACTTTGATTTTGGCAGTTTTTCGATAAGACACCACCGTCGTAGTTTTACAAGTTCGGGCGGCTCTTTGGGACTAAAACTGAATTTCGATATCGATTTTCGATTTCTATTCTGTCGATAAGACCGGGCCTAAGCCAAAGCGCACACAACGCCTCAAACACGACGGACCTTCCTTCGTCCTCGGCCACCCAGCTTCCAGAAGTACTGAATTGCAGCCCGTGTTGGTGACGTGATCCGGGAGGGGGCTCGTAATACTCTACGGTCTCTGCACAGGGGGGCATCATGCTTGCCCACGCTGTGTGCAGGAGGATAATGTCCGGTGGTATGTGTGGATCTTGTGCGGTTTCTTACTCGCATCTGTCGCCGATTTTACGTAACATGTACAAATGTAAAATCATGTAGACTAAATCATGTAGATTTTGGTTCATTTTTGTGCTTCTACTCTTGTGCGTCGGAGACCATGAACGACACGTACTGTAATACGTGCCATTGAAAGAAAAAAACTCCAGTAATACGAGCCCAACGTTGCTGGCTTCCGCAGCAACATCGGCCTTACGGGCTGGCCGCATGCCACCCTCGGCGCAACACCAGCAGAAAACCCCGCAACTCCAAAACTGGCCGACCGGTACAAGAACCAACTTCAGAACCATTATTGTACCTAGGAATTCACAACTGCGTACTCCCCTTTGTTTGGGCTTTGGCCCGGGAGCAAGACACAACGTCAGCGGCAGCACGACACCAACTCGGGAAGGATGAAGCCCACGCCGTCCACCCGTCTGGCGTGTGCTGTTCTTTCCTTTGCACGTGCAACAGGGTTCGTGTCTGGACCAACGGCGGCCAGCGTTTCTGCTCGGGCGCCATGGGCGGGAGCACGAGCACATGGTGGTGCATCGTCATCGTCTCTCTCGTCGTCGTCATCACATCATGATCGTCGGCATGTACGAGCAGGGGCAGGTGACAGCGAAGCACGAGGGAAAGCTCTCCGAATGGTGGCTGCTCCGGAGATGTCCAGAACAAACGCGCCGGGGACAGCGGAAATGGATTGGGAGAATCTTGGCTTCGAGTACAGAGATGGTGAGCAGCTGCATGGCGGGCCATATCTCTTCTCACAGTAGCCGCTACATCACCATGTCATAGTGGACTGGGACGAGATGGATGTGTGCTTGCTTGCGATATGTAGTGAAGTGGTGGCTGTATCGAGGGTGAAGGCTTTGGGATTGCGATAATGGATTTGACGAGGTGTTTCTGCACAACTCCTTATCACCCCTCCATGTTGTACGCATTGCGTGATCACGCAGTCAACAGCCACGTCAAGTTCACGTTCAAGAACGGTGCCTGGGATGAGGGGGAGATGGTGAAGGACCCTTACGTCAACGTCCACATCGCCAACACCGCGTTGCATTACGGGCAGTCGGTGTTCGAGGGGCTCAAGGCTTTCCACGGCAAGGACGGAAGGTGCTTTTTATTTGTTGCGTTGGTGGGGGTATTGGTGTCGACTTTTTTTTTTTCTGTAACTGCATAGCTACCTACTAGGTTGTCATTCTGATCCACGAGAACCCGTGTCCTCGTCGGGGCGCATCCAGAACTCGGGGCACGCAACACGTTACTCGTGGTTAACTCATCTCCGCGTGCTTTTCCAGACCAGGCTTGCAGTGTCGACTCGCCCACAGCTACGTTCTTGTCCGCATATTCAACACCTTCTCGAGCGGGGTGCCAACGAGGGCGACCGCGGCTGGAAGGCAAATGCAACGGGGTCACTATTAATAGTAGTAGTGTGTGCGTTGCCTCTCTGTGTCCCCAGTGGGCCCGTTCGTCGGTGGTCTTTGTCGTGTTTGACCCACGAAGTAAAAACTGCGTGCAAGGGAACTGGCACTTACGAGGACCTCTGCCAACAACCGACGCTGTCGCCGCACCGATAGTGTCAAGTGTAGTGTTGTTGCAACATTTCTTTGCTGCCGAGCCGACCTGGCTTGTTTTACAAGTTACAGCGGGATACAGCACCACGGTGAAGATGACTCCTGTCGAAGTTGAGACCGAGCATGCATGTTCTCCTATACAACCGGAAACCCTCCCTTCGTGTGTACCCCCCCACCGGTGTTTGCCATCGGGGTTGGGTTTTCTTCGCTTGGCAACGACGTTGTAAAACAAGCCCCCCCCC